GAAGGGAGAGAGGCAGAGGAGGGGGAGAGAGAGGGAGAGATGACAGAGGGAAAGAGAGAGAGGAGAGAGAGAGAGGAGGCAGAGGAGATTGAGAGGAGGAGAGACAGAGAGAGACACAATAGAGGGAGCAGAGAGAGAAAGAGGCAGAGGGAGATGGAGAGAGAGAGAGACAGAAGGACAGGGAGAGAGAGGCAGAGAGCGAGAGACAGATGGAGGCAGAAAGCGCGCGAGAGAGAGCGAAAGAGCTAGAGAGAGAGAGAGAGAGAGAGAGAGAGAGAGAGAGAGAGAGAGAGCGAGAGAGAGAGGCTTAATTGTAGAGATGGTTTTTCGGCACGATGATAGACCAATTAGCGTTAGTTGCTCGTTAAGATCGCTTGCAGAAGATGCGGGACTGCGGTTTGAATCCAACGGGGCGTAATTCGATCTAGCGACGACCGACGATAATCATCAAGTATGCGTCACAGCCGCGGCTGCCACGCGTGCATGCATGAGCTAGGCCTTTTACATGATCAACGTCCTCCCCCTCACAGACCTCCCAACGGAGCATGCCGAGCGCAAAAGTGAGAACGCTGTTTGACGAGGCGCAGCGACAGTGGTATAGAGTTAAAGCTGCTCGCACGCGATCTTCTTTTTTCCCGCCGTTCTCTAAACTCGCGCACGCAATCTGGCTATCAAATTAAGCTGACGAGATCGTCGTGATCACGCGCGCAGCTGGGTAGCCATGTCGCCGCCCGCCTCGCCGCCACACACAGGTGACTGCGCAGTTCCCGCGTTCGGTCGCACACCCGCTACGCAACGAACACAGCGCCATATTTGCCGACGAATAAAGCGTCATTCGTCGTCCTTGAAATATTCAGCTTCTTTCGTCTTCCTCTTTTCGCTCGGGATGTTCAGCTTCTTTCGGCACACGCCCCGCGATGTTTTAACATGACAACCGTGTGCGCGTGTACGCAATTACTAGTCACGTACCCGGCGTAGCGAAGATCACTAAGGGATTCTAGTCGTGTTTTTTTTTCATTATTAAAGGCGTGTTTACACGGACGTTTTAGCCCGAGCCTAATTAGGCCCGCGCCAAATTTGGCTCGAGCCGAGCGTTCACACGGACGGTTTTTCGGGGGCGTGCCGAGTTAGCACGAGCCATGCAATTTGGTC